CAACCAGTCTGTGAGAAGGCGGAGGGCATATAATTGTGGTGAGATTTGCTGGGGAGGGGGGATTGTTGCAACTCTTTGTGTTGGCGGTTTAATGGGACAGAAGACGGCGGAATTAGTGGTCGTCCATGCAGCATTGAGGCAGAGGTAGGCAGAAAGAAATTACCGATACCTAAACAAAGGATTTTTAGCCATCTTCTTGACCTGTGTTCGCATTTAATCCTTATTCGTACGCTGCAAAGCAAATATGACTTTTGAGAAGACATTTTTTCTGAATTGATTTGACATTTTTGCGGTTTACTTACAATTTTTTCCTTCCTTATGACAGTCTTAACATGACATCGGCCTCCGACAAGCTTCCCCGTGAGCGCATCGTAGCTCTCTTTTCCGAATTTGTGCTCAAAGAACACCCGCAAATATTTGAGAACAATCAAGATAATTTGGGTGCTGGAAAGTGCTTCGTTCTCACTGTACACTTTCCGGCGCTTTGCGAATACAATAGCCTTTTTTCCCAACAACTGCTATTAAATCCACGTCAAACCTTGAAACTCTTCAATGCTGGTCTTCTGGATGGCGTCAAACAGCACTTTTCGCCACAAAAACCGGACTTCCTCCCTTTCTTGCGCTGTTTGGTTCGCATTGCCTCACTTCCTCTCATTCCCGAGGTTTACAGAACGGAGATTCCCTACTCCAACCAAGTTGGTCGCTTCTTTGCCCTTCAGTGCACCGTCACACGGGTCGGACCAGTACAGGTTGTCCAAACGCAACGGACCTATTCCTGTCAGAAGTGTGCCTTCGTTTTCACTGTGCAGGCCGATTTTGCGGAGTACTTTGCCCTCCGACAACCCAACCGCTGTCCTAACACGCGCGAACACTGTCCATCAACCAGCTTTTCTCCGCTCAAACAGACCGAAAATCATTTAGAAAACTATCAGGAAATTCGCGTCAACGAGCAGTTTAGTTGTCTATCTGTGGGCAAAATGCCACGCTCCATTTGCGCCTGTTTAAGCAATGACCTGGTGGACACAGTGCGTCCCGGTGATGACGTCATTCTCAACGGGATACTCACGCATCGCTGGCGTACTCCCCGCCCTGGGGC